CTGGTGGAGGCAGAGAACACACCTGGGTTCAAAAAGGGACCGGAGGGGTGTTGGCTGTAGCTGTGTTGGTCTAAGGACGCAGGCAAACAAGGGCCTTTGGGCAAATGTGATATCTTTTATTAGACCAACTAAACAGTTGGAAAAATTGTTCTTTGCGAGCTTTCAGGCACAAACGCCCTTCGTCAGGCACGGGGAGCCGGACGCACCCATGGGGGGCAGGTCCATGGACAGCTATTGTAAAGAACATGGGATGTAAGCCCCAACACCCCTAAAGCAACGATAGCGAAGGCTGGGAGACAGGGCAGGGGTTTGCCGGGGAGTGGGTCACTCCGGACATGCTCTCTTTGCCGCTGGCACTGCTGGAGGCCAGACACGCTGGGCTGGACGGATGACTGGTGCGACCCGGCGTGGCGCTGCTTGTGTTCTTGTATTAACAGTGAGCACAGACGTACAGTGCACCCTGCAAGCCCACTTCCCCGCTGGGAGCCCCGGCCAGACGGGACCGGGAGCACCCCTGCGTGCCGAGCGCCCAGGCAGGATGTTGGCTTGTGCCGGGGGGCTGCTGGATATTCATGGCCATCCAGGAGTAGGCCGGGCTGGGTTGTTTTTTAAACTGTTCCTTATTACTCCAGGCTTTGAAGTACAGAGAAAAGCAACACTCAATGTGCCGGTTTTTTAAAGCTCCCTTTATCACGGCCAATCTTTTCCTCCTCCGCTGTGTTGCTGGAGATAGATATCAAGCAAAGAGAAAGTCTCCTCTTTTAACAATGGATTTCCCTTCCCTTCTGAACTTCAAATAGAAAACTCTTATCTGCAGCTGCAGTTGACCAAAAGAAGAAAAGAAAAGAAAACAGAGAGACACTAGCTGACCCCAGGCTGCCTTTTATTTACTCAGAAGGCCACTCTGGCTCTTCGTGGCCTGCGGTACCCTGCCGAGAGATGCTTAAGGCACATATTTACCCACCAGACCGACTATTCTGCCGCCATGGAAACGCACCTTTTTCCTCTCCCTTGCGCTCCATGCACCTGCTAGGGTCTGGTCCTGTTTAGCGAGCTGTTTGGGCACGAAGGAGCCGCGAGCATGTCTGGAGACACTGCAAGCTGCTCGGTACTGATGGAGATCATCTTTAGGAACTAAGCCCCCCTCCAGCCTCCCCTCGGCACGGATTAGGGGTCCCATTCTGCACTGCCTGCCTTATGGAACCGAACCGGACCGGGAGCGAAACCAGTTTGATTTAATTTGATCCTTGCCCCTAAAACAGTCGGCTGCCAGGGAATTGCTTGCAAAGAAATCACTACAGCTGGGCAAGGCGTGCGTGTCCCCTTCCAAGTCTGATTTTTCCCTTCATTCAAATTGCATAGGTCTAAAATGCAGGCTGAGCAGAGCCCAGAGAGGGTTGAAGTCCACGTCCCACCCGAGTCAGGAGCGAATGCTTGAACCCCCGGAGCACAGCTGCTGCAACGCACAGCTTGCTGCTGGCCGTGGCATCCGGGCAAGCGCCCGGGCTGAGAGAGAACAGGATTCAACCCATCTGCTCCAGGTGAAGATGCTGCCCCTGAGCCAGGGGATGTTCCTGGAGGAAGGGAGGTCTTGCTCTCTCTTTCTCCCTTGCATTTCTTTTATGTCCAGGGTCCTGGCTTCAGAGAAATCCTAAGAGCAGTGGAGTTGGAAGGGATCTGCAGGGCTCACATCTAGTCCAACCCCTGCCAGAGGCAGGATCAGCCCTGTCCCAACCAGCCCAGACAATCCCAGCGTCCAATCCAGCAACACGACAGTCACCCCTGACACAGCCCCAGGCATCACCCCCGCCCCTGCCCCTGGGAAAGCAGGGGGGTCGCAGCCAACAACGTCCTGGTGCTGCAAGGGGGGGTTCACAGACGCTCCAGAGACCCCAGGAAGGAAGCAGAGGATCAGGGTTTTAAAATCTCAAATGCTGGTGGCAGAGAACGAACATTTGGCTCCTGCCCAGGGCAGCTCCAGGACACCAGCCATGCAAAAGAGGTCCTCACAGCCCCCCACAGAGTTGCACGAAGCCCTGGCCATGCTGCCCTTGGGGGGCATTGCCCTCCCCAGGGAGCTCCCGCGGGCCAATGCATCATGCCAAGCACCCTGTCTCCCAGCTGCCCGGTGACAGATGTTCAGGCGGCAAGCAGTGGGATGGGCCAAGCCCCGGAAAAGTGCTTTCTAATGCTGTCCCCTGCAACAGCCACAATGATGAACAGCCACACGACCGACTGTTCTCCATCATGGGCGTGCAAGTGATGGCAGCCGGTGCAAGTCCTGGAGCGCCCGGGCACCATGGCAGCCCTCGAGGAGAGAGAAGCCCCAGGCCCAGGCACCCGGCTGGAGGACAGGGCAGCCTGAGGAGCAAAGACTGGGCGTGGGTGGCTCATGGCATCTGCTGGAAAGCCCAGCCAGAGCCCAGTGCCACGGCACAGCTGTCCTCCCCACAACCACCCCACACAAGCAGCCTACACCAGGCTGGGGCTGGTGGAAGCTGCTCTCACACCTCCCTGGGACAGGCACAGTGCAAAGCCCCAGGTAGGGCTCAGTCCTGCAGGGATCCTGCTGCTATGAGGACCCAGTCTGACCCACCGGCTTGCCACAACCTCTGAAAGCAGACGCATCCGGTGACATACACGGAGATCAAGGGGAAGCTGCTCTTCCAAGGGAGCCAGCAATACTCGCCCACGGTGCTGTAGCCCAGAGGCAGCGGCAGAGGCCTTCAGAGAGGCCTGCATGCTGCCAGCACCTCGACGGAGGGAAAAAGCACCTGAAGAAAGCTCGCTAGTTTGTTAATTGTATTCCTCGTACAGTCCTGCAGAATTAGCAGGCAAATTTTGCATGCAGAGGAGAGAGCGGTTAATACCTTGGCATTGACTTAAGAAGACCTTGAATAATGTATATGACTTCTACCTCCGAGGAAGGCAGGCAAGTTTGTACGGCATCCCGACATTTGTCTTCCTGCAGAGCTGCAGCACTCTGGGAAGGAGCCCCCTCGGGCACAGACATCTCCAAGACCCCGAGCGCCCACCTGCTGGAGATCTTCCCTGGCATGACGGGAACGGTAAAAGTCTGCTAAAAGCAGGAGCTTCCCACTCCCCGTTCCAAGAGAAACCTGGGGCCACTTCAGAGCGCCATCGCTGCTGCCTTTCATGGAGACATCTTCTTCACCGCCCAGTCTGGCCAGCCACTGAGCACCCCACAGCCTCGCTGACGTCCAGCCCAGCACCACCTCGGCCGTGTCTGGACTGGCCCCTCTCCCTAGCGTCAATGCATCTCTGTGGAGCCATGGGCACCACGAAGACCACAAAGCTCTGAACAAGTCCATCTCCTTCCACCCTGACGGCTGCCCCGTGCTTCCAACACCGTTCTCTCTGGCTGAGCCACCAAGAAACCACGTCTGCCTGTCCAGGCAGTGCCAGCGACGGCGCGAGGCTTTGTTCCTGCTACGGGATGTGCAACAACAGCACTGCCCTAAAATCCTCTTTGCAACCGGTGGTGTTCTGTATAGGAGCTAAATCACTACTGCCTTGTGCTCTCACACCCCCATAGTAGGTGCTCAGTGCTCTGCTATTCGAACAGGGAACCACAGAAAGAGAGAACAGGTATTTTGTTGAGAGACGGGCTGGACTGTGATCTCAGGCGGGGGCTCCTGAGGTCTGATCTCATGGCCAAGATACCTGTTTTACTTTACCCACAGCATGAAGCACGGGAGTGTGACATGGTTTTGCAAAGCACCTTGCCCACAGGAGGGTCTCACAGCTACAGCACATGGCTCCCACCAAGAACCTGGGGTCCACCCCCAGCTTGGCCACCGACTCACCGTGTGGGTCCAAAAAAATCCAACCACTCTGTGCCTCAGTTTCCACACCACTGGCGTTACGGCGCAGAAAGTGGTGGGGATAAATTTCCCAGTGCCTGTGAAGAGTTTTGAGATCCTTGGGCTGGAAGGGCATGGGGCCGTCCTTCTGCATTATTTAAGCTCTATTAGAAGCTAAGGCAGAAGGTGTAAAAAAAAAAAGAAGAAGAAAAGAAAAGAAAAATCAGTTTCTGCAAAAGGTGAGCGGAGAGAATCCACCAGGAAAGGCTTGGTATTTTTCCCAGGCTAGGGGCAGGTGTTAGCAGCAAAGAAAGCAGCCCACGTGCACATACACATAGGTGCATGCACACACATGTGCACACAAACACACACACTTAAATGCCGAACAGTGTTTTTAAAGGGAGGACAAAAAACACGGCCTCGAAGGCATGGATTAAACTCCCGGTGCTTGATGCCGAGAGTGCTAAGCGCAGAGAGAGAACCCGCAGATGGGAGCCATATCAGCAGCCAGATCCCAGCGCTCCGGGGGGAGAAGGAGCCGGCGAGGCAGGCGCACAAGTCTTGCGGCGACAAGTTTCCCTTCCCGCCCCGCAGTGGCTCAGTGGAAGAATACAGAAGAAGTTGGGTCATAACGTGGAAAAAAGCTCCTGAAACACGACATCACTTACTCTTCTGTGCTATTGCTCAGCAGAGCTAATAAATCTTGCATGAGCAGCGCTGAGTCTAATTTTCTAATATGAAAAGGCATTTGGATTGAGAGAGAGGGAAAGATAAAAGTGATTGAATCTCCAATCGCCCGGCGTCAGTGACAAGAAACATCCTGAGACGGACCCCAAAGAAGAATGGCTCCCCCCTGGCGCGCCAAGCCCCCACCCACCTGCGCCTCCATCCCTCCCTGCTCCCGGCACGCTCCGGCTCTGACTCCAGCTCCCCTATTGACAGGCCGAGGGTTGAAACACAGTTACCCAAGTTATCATTTCTGCCTTTTGATCAATCTGAATTTTCAGGACAATTACCCTCTTAATCAATGATTGCTATCAGCAGCCCGCGGCCCCGCGCCGCATGGGCAGACGGCGCGTGCATAAGCAATGAAGCCGAGGGGAGGAGCTCCCTAGGCGCGTCCATCTTCCCCTGACATCCTCACCGGCGGAGAGGGTGGAAAGCTGTGAAGGCCACTTCAAGGAACACCTGACGGGAAAGAGAAGCAGGGGGAGATTCGAGGCACGCTGGGCCCGGAGCCGTGGGTACCAAACGATTCCCCCGACCGAAAAGCCAACCCAGGTGAGCCGCGGACCTGGAACCGGGAGATTCAGGCCGATCTACTGCCAGCGCCGACAGCTCCTAATGAGGCTAATAAAGGCCCTTTGCAATTAGGGGCCAAAAGCATTTGAGGGACTGATGGATGGCGGAGGGGGGAATCGGCTTGGCACAATGTCTAGGGCACGGGCTTTCCTTTGGGGGGAAAAAAGTATGATTTTCCATACGCAGTTTATTTAGCAAATGTCATCAGAAATACCATCAAGAGGCAAAATAAACAGGTCCTCCCTGCATCCTCGTGGGAGGAACATGCCTCAGCCACAAGCGCTCGATTCTGGGAGGATCCACAGGGCAGAGAGACCCGGCACCCAGCGGGGTTGGCCCCGCACCCCAGGACTGCAGGTCTCAAGGCCGTGAGCACCCCTCGATCGGCACAGGGCTGTTCTTGCTTGGGGTGCTGGGCACAGCAATCCCCTTCCCGGGGAAGTGGCCAGGGACTGGGGTTGCACTCTCCTGGTAACGACTAACCAACACTGCGGAGAAAGGAAGTCCAGGTTAAAACAAGCTTGCTGGAGTAGGGCGTTTTGTCCCATGCAAGGCTTTGTCGAGCTGGGTCTTTAACACCTCCAAGGATGGAGACTTCACTCTCTGGGTACCCTGCTCCAGTGCTTCACCACCCTCCTAGTGAGGAAGTTTTCCTAATATCCAACCTCAACGTCCCTTGCTGCAGCTTGAGCCCATTGCTCCTTGTCCTGCCATCTGCCCCCACTGAGACCAGCCCAGCTCTGTCCTCTTTGCAGCCCCCCTGCAGGGAGGTGAAGGCTGCTGTTCAATCCCCCTCGGTCTTCCCTTCTGCAGCCTCAATCAGCCCAGGTCCCTCCGCCTCTCCTCACCAGTCCAGTCCCCCAGCCCCACAACCATTTTCATTGCCCTCCACTGGACTCTCTCCAATGTGCCCACATCCTTTCTGTAGTGGGGGCCACAGCTGGACACAGGACAATCCTGGGGTCCTTCAGGGCTCAGCGGCTTGGGGGGGGCAGTAGGAAGGGGAGCTCCCTCTCTCTGCCCGACACGCAGGGACCCGTGCCAGGACATGTCACCGTCTCGCACCCACCAGCTCAGGCTGGCAACCGGCAGCACCCGGCGGGCCTGAGAGGGCAGCTGGGGCTGTTGCGAGCAGCTCCAAAGGCCCAGCCTTTCACTAGCTCTTTTACACGGAGAATTGCCGATCAAAACCATCCCCGCTGAGGACTCCAGAGCTATAAAAATAAAAGGAAGGCAAGAGCCACCAGAAGAATTCTTTAGGTGGGTAATGGGCATTTTATTCCTTTTTATGACACTAAACATAGGCAGCTGGCATAATTACACCACAATAAAGGCATAATGTGCACCTAGCAGAACAAACTCATACTTCTGATAATTAGGCAGAGCAAACACAGTCTGGGCCTCGGTCACGTGGCTGCACTTGTCTCCTGGGTCTGTCTGAGCCCGGATCCTTGCAGGCAGCCCAGCCCCCAGCGCAATGGCCTGGTGCGGCCGGCTCCGGGAGGACGGGCACACAGCTCCGGAGAGATGGCTGCCGGTTGCCGCAGCAGGATGAGAACGCAGAGCCACGCAGGGAGGGCCGAGGGCTTCTCTGGGAAGGGAACCAGTGCCCCAGGATAGCAGCAGCTGGCGTCCAGCCGGACGCCACGAAAGAGCAGTGGCCACCGTCCTGGGGATGGTCCCGGAGTGGCTGTAAGAAGCCAGGAGCAAAGCTGCATGTGCTGGGCAGGGGGAGGGATGGGGAGGACACCGCACAGCACATGGGCTGGAGGTGATGGGGGGCAGAAGCTGCCCAGAGCAGCCCACCTGCCTGCGGTTGGTCAATCATGAGATGAAGCCAGGGGAAGGCAGCAGCGAGACCCCAGGAAGGCTCCTCACCTGGTCACCGCACCGATAAGCTGACAGCCCCATCCCCTCCGAATCATGCCCAAAATCAGGGAGCCCCTTGCAAGGTCACTGCTGGGGCTGGTGGAGCACAGACCTGCCTGGCGCTGGCACAGGATCATGGGGCGCGTTAATCCTGCAAGCCCCTGCACTGCTGCCTTCTGGAGCACTACCGAGCAGCCAGGAAGCTGTGGGCACCTCTTGCTCCTAACAGAGACTGGGCGCTGGGGCTCCGGAGATGGGGACCAAGCGAGGCCTGGCTGCAGTGTGTCTGGGCCCCGCCGGTCAGGCTGGCACGCAGTGGCCTCTGTGTGGCTGGATGTGGATGAGCTCCCTGCCAGTGTCTCTAGCAGGACAATCCCTAAGGCCAAGCGGCAGGATCTCACCCCCTTTCCAAGGCTGGGCTTCTTGCTGTCTGATCCCGGCCAAAACCAGGCGCTTGTGACTCTCCTGTGGAAAAGACTTAGTCTTTGTGGTGCCCGGACTCCAGGAACTCATATCTTGGAGTACTCAGGCTGGGTCAAAGTGTCACTAAGACAGAGTAAGCGATGGAAAAACCCAGGTTTCCATTGAATCGCAGAGAGATGGGGCTGGAAGGGAGCTCCAGAGGTCTCAGGTAGTCCAAGCCCTGCCCGAGGCAGGAGGAACCCTGTCCAAACCAGCCCAGACAAACCCAGTGTCCAACCTCTTAGTAAAACTAGTCCCCCCTGACACAAGACATCAAACACAAACCTGCCCCAGGGAAAGCAGGGGGACCGCGCCCACCAACGTCCTGCTTCTCTAAAAGGTTGTCAGGATTTGCTCAAAACATCGCAGGCAGTGGCTGTGCCCCCTCTACAGAGGAAGGCAGACTCCACCCCAGTCTGAACCAGTATAAACAGGGAGAAAATCCCTTCCTGCCCCCAGCGCAGCACTGGTCTGAGCCTGCGCAGAGGGGTAAGACCCTCTAGGTAGGACCCTCCAGGGTTGGTCCCGGCAGCAGCATTGGCACAGCCCAGACCCCGTCCCCAGCCTAGGCTGTAGCCAACATCTGGTGCCTCTGGGGGTGGCTTAAAAAACCCTTGATACACGGAGCCGGAGGAGCGGAAAGGGGCTACAAGATTCCCTCCCAACCCCATGCAGCACCCAGCACGGCCCAGAAGCCTGTGAATCCCCACAGCAGAGCACAGGCATCGCTAGCCTAAATCATCCCTGACCAGTGGCTGTCCAGCCTCTTCTTGAACCCTTCCAGTGATGGAGAGTCCACCTCTTCCCCAGGCCAGGGAGGATACTATGTAAGGGACAGATCACCCTAGAGATGTCCGGTTCAGTGCTCATCCCCTCCTGCCACTGCTGGGGACGGGATCCTGAGCTCGGAGGACCACTGCTCTGACCCAGTAGAGAACTGCTGATGGTCTCATGTTCTCAGGACTAGTTTTCTGGTCCAGTGCAGGGGCTGGAAAGTTTGCCTGGCAAAACCCACCCCTTGCCATCTCCCAGCCCTGGCACGGGTTGAAAAGGAGCAGCAGGAACGTTACTATGATGATGGGCCAGGGGATCCTAGCTAGGATCAGGGTCCTTTTTGCTGGACCCCACATAGACCTCCCCTTGCCTAAAAAGGCTTTGTGCATGTGGGGGGCTTCATTTAAAACGTTCCAAGCGGCACTCACAAGCCCATGTGGCTGTAGACACAGCCTCCTCTCTCCTGAAATGCACAGCCCCGGGCTCAGAGGCTTGCTGCAGAGGTGGGTTATGGCGTGGAGGCAGCGCCAGGGACACACGCATATTTTGCACCTCTGTGGACCAAGAGTTCATCCCACGGCTCTAAGAGGATGCTTTTCTCATTACATCGAGCGGGTCCGATGAGCCTACCACCTCGTACTTGTCTGTCGGTACAGCCAAGGCTCGGCAGGCCCCATCCACCATGCCCAAGTCACACTCTGCAAAGCAGCCACAGGGAAAAAGGAACAGACAACCACACGATCAGGGATGCTCCCCGAGGAGCAAATCCTTCCTCCCCGTCTCTCTTTAACCAATTCCCCCTCCACTGTTTTCCCATCTTCTCACCTCCCCAAGCACCATTATTGTTCTGCAACCCCTCACCTTCGCACTGTTGATGGCAGTGACCAAGTCACTCAGAAAGACACCCGCGGCTATGCCAGAGCTCAAGCTGGTCCCCAGCTGGATGCGCCAGCCAGAGAGGCAGGCAGGCAAGCCAGCAGCCTGATGCACCAAGGTACCAGGGCTGCACTACAGGGAGGGACAGAGCAGGGTGCGGTGAAGGGGACCCCTACGGGGATGGCAGGTGATGCAGCCACGGTCAGAGATGCGCTGGTCCCTCCCATGCCCCATTTCTGGGAGCGGATACGTTAATTAAGAACAGGCAGGTGGGACCCGAGAGCATTTCCATGTGCTAATATAAGAGGAGCAACAGCCAGACACTAGGCACAGCAGCCATCCCAGAACCACCCCTCTCACTCCTAGGCTCTTAACTCTGTCACCCATCCCCTCACCCAAAACACACCCAGCCTCACCCAACACAGACCTGGGGGACTCGGGACCTTTGAGAACTGGGCTTATTTAGTCTGCAGATGACTGAGGGGGGATTGAAGAGCAGCCCTCAACTCCCTGCAGGGGGGCTGCAAAGAGGATGGAGCTCAGCGTGGGCCGAGGACAGAAGGAGCAATGGGCTCAAGCTGCAGCAAGGGAAGCTGAGGTTGGATATTAGGAAGAATTTTCTCACGAGAAGGGTGGTGAAGCGCTGGAACAGGCTCCGCGGAAAGGTGGTGCAGTCTCCATCCTTGGAGGTTTTGAAGCCCCGGACAGACAAAGCCGTGGCTGGGATGATGTAGATGGGGCTGGTCCTGCTCGGAGCAGGGGGTTGGACTGGATGTGACCTCCTGAGCTCCCTTCAACCCCCATTTTCTAGGATTCAGTGACTCTAGGGGAGGGATGGGTTTGCAGCCAAAGCTTGGGACTGGCCCTCACGAGCATCTAGCCCCATTTTCCACCTCTGTCACCGACTTCCTGAGAGCTCACTCGGCCTCTCTGTGCTTCAGTCTCCTGGCGGTATACGAGGACCACAATTCTGCTGTGGCTATTCAGCCTGCGAACTCCCCACGGCAAGTCTCTCGACACATCTGCGCCGCAGCTAGTATAGCAGCCAGCAACGAAAAGCAGTGAAGAAGGAACAACAGATGCTGCTGGGTCAGGGACAGGGCTTTCCCTAGCTGGTCCAAAGTCAGGCCGATTCAACGATGCATTCCTACGTAGGTGGCTCCCGTGTCACACGAGTGAGCCCTGCGGACGTAACGCTTCAACGCCAGCATCACACCAGGTTCCCTAGCTGGACCCATTCACAGGTGAGACAAAGAGGGGCCTGATGCAAGGGGCTTAAAAATCCTGTCTTCTTCCACAGCGCAAGCATGTCCGGAAAAGCTGAAGCCCCAAAGCAGGCGTCTCGGGGCCTGTCTGAGCCTGGCACTCCAGGACCTTGCAGTCATCTCAGTTAAGGCCTTCGATTCTTGGAACAAATTAAGTTTCCAGCCCCAACGCCTCGGTCCCTCCCACCAAGCCGGAGTCGCTCTGGGAAGGCCTGAGGCCAGCGAGAGCACGCTGGAGAGAC